AACTGCCTCTGAAAATAAAAATTAAGAACATTAATGAAGGACAGAAATTTAGAGTCAAATTATAAAGGATCATAGACTTACTGTCAAGGCCTATTAGTCTAATGGCTTGTAAGAACCGGTTGTGAAGTGAATTTGTCCAAACCACCTTTGCCTTTCTTTTGGCAATAGAACTTTGAGTAGCCCTAGTTTCCTTTGCCTTCTTCGTCTTGTTCTTGGTTCTTTCCGATTTCAATAATTTGATCATCTCCTTTTTCGATGGTTTGTCGATCGATAATTCTGGTCGGATAATTGTTCGTGTTTGTTTAGGTGTAATAGCATATTGCCATACTTGTTTGACATCATCTAGGCTTATTGGTTTGACCATGTAAAATGAAACACCCTCCTCTAAACTCTTCAATATGACGCTAGGTTTTTCATCAGCTGACATCACTGCAAAGAAGAGTAGGGTTTGGTTTAATTTACTTGTATATTGACTTGTTAATAATAATATTGTAGATTATGTAGATACTTACTGATAACAGGAAGCTTGAATTCTTTGGTTACTTGCTTCTGTAATTGAAGACCATTCATTTGAGGCATGTGCAGATCAGTGACAACGAGGTCAAAAAACCCTTTTTTTGCCCTTAGAGTATCAAGTGCTTCAATTGGGCTTCTCTGAGTCACAACTGAGATTTAAACACACCATCTTGTCACCAAAAATGTTAACAAACTTCAACTTAGATGGAATTCCATGAATATTATTTTTGTTTGGCTTATTTACCGCCTCGAGATTTTAAAACGTGTCTGCTAGAGAGAGATTTCCACACCCTTATGTCAGTATTTCGTTCTACTCTCCTATCAATATTGGATTTCACTAGAATTTCTAGTTCAACATTTGGAAACTATAATTAGAGTAAAGATTCTTTAGAATATATGATGAAAAATTGATGTGTAGTGACATGAAACAGTCCAACAATGTAATGGTCTTTTTACTCCCATGATAATGTTAAAGCCTTATGAAAGATTAGAATTTAAGCAAACCCTAAACCCTAGAAATAAGTGAGCATTTTTTAAACCATTAATAAACAAAAGGTATGAAAACCAATTGAAGTAGAGATGGGAGAAGAAAAGAAAGCAAAACCTTGGTATTTGCAGAGTCTAAGCATGGCAGAAACGACAGCAAGAGAAGTAGCATCATCATCCACCAACAATATATGAATATCAACCGACAACATTCGACTCTCCAAAACTAATTCACATCGCCCATCTTCTTCATCCATCCTTCAAACCCCACACCCACGCCTTACCTTAGCCTACAGATCACTTTATAATCTTTCCAAAACACTCTTCTTCTAGTTCAATACACCGATTACCAGTTGATGAAGAGGATAATCATCTGAAAAACCAGAACCAGAACCATATATATATATATATATATATATGTATGTATGTATGAACATTACATGCAAAAGAATCCAGCCCCAAAGTTCACATCTAATGCAACTTACCAAACATATGAGCCTCCCACTTGGAGTTCCATTTCAAGAAGATCCGCAATCCTTTCATTTATTCCTCTCCCTCCTTTTTCCCTTTTTCTTTTTCATATCTTAACCAAATAATTCCATATCATTTTTGTTTTATTTTCCAAATAAAACTCCCATTTCCACATGCATGCATCTAATTCTATCTCTTACTTAATTACCCGTAACTCCATATTCAAATCTTTCTAATCTTACTTAATACTTTTGTGGTTGACTATATATTTTAATAGGACAACACCCCTTATCCGATTCTTAATTATCGTTTCGAGTGGTATTGAAAAGATTAAATGTACTTGAGTACCTTTATTTGAATTTAATGACGATTTAGATGTCTATCTTTTTTATGTTATTCAGAGGCAGCTCCGCTTGATCCCAAATTCACAAACAAAATAACAAAGCCAGTAATTCAAAATCAAACTTGCCTGCTACTGCAAAGCTCGACCGAACCATTATCAGGCTTCACTGCCTCGAACAACTCGCTCGACATCTTAAACTGATTTGGGGAAAATATGCGAAGTTCTGTCGAGCCATATTGTATCCAAATCCAGACCGGGACAGGACCAAAATCTCGTCTTGTGAACCGAAACCAACGTGCCATCGTCAGCCAAATCAAACGTGAACGGCAGCAATGGTGGCTCTGGAATCCCGAGAGATCTCGGATCGTAAATCAAAGTCTAAAGCTTGGTGGGTTTTAGAGACATGGGGGTATGGTCACAAAAAGAAAATATATTTACAACTTTTCCTTGGTTTTGTATGAATCATGACTCGATCATCAAGAGTGGATATGATTTGGATTACAAATTTCATTTTCACTATATAATAATAATAATAATAATAGAGATAATTTAAAAATAAAGTTAAATGTCGCAATCAAATTAAACAGATAAACTATTACAAAATGATGTGTTACATAAATAAAAAGAAAAAAAAAAAAAAAAGGAACAAGGGGGAGGGGGGGNAAAAAAAAAAAAAAAAAAAAAAAAAAGGAACAAGTGGGAGGGAGGGTATGGGTTTAATTAAGTGTAGTGGACCTTGTCTGTCACCTACATAACAGACACGTGGTTGGTTGACGCGTTTCTGCGGAAAACACCGATTGTACTAACCCCTAATTCTGTCACCCACTCTCAGTCACAGTCAGTTACCGTATCGGTATCGGAAATTCCGTTTTCTTTCATTAACTGTCAATTAAAAAAACCGTGTCTTCATTTGGAGTTTTCCGCCACGTCACTCGAAGGTGTTCTTTTGTCTGCTTCTGTAACCCCTTTGCCCTGCTGTCTCCTTAACTGTCACTCACTTCCCAACCCCCCCCAAGAACTTTCCTCTTTTTTCTAAATTCTTTTCTCATCTTTTAATCCTTCTTAATCAATTTCTTTCTTAATTCTCGTACTTTTTAGACTATTTATTGCCTTTTCTTTAGATTTATAGGAAAATGCTTATGTAATATTTTCTTTAGAGCATGACGGTTGATTCATAGCATCTATTATTGAACTATAATGTAATGTTTTATTTATACCCATGATTTGAATTAAGCACATAATGATTCCAATGTTCTTATCTTATCTATTCGTCTTGAATTACTTTTAAAAATGAAAAATTAATCTCACCTATCAATACCCAATATATTGATGGTTTAAAGCAAAATATGGTTATATTTTTTTATAAAATTATTATTTAAAGAAATAGGGGTGACAAGGAAGTTTCCATGTAAGAGAATGGATATCTAATCCTCGTTGCCCCAATGGGTGAAGAACAAGTAGAATCATACTCAAAGAAGATGTAGAATCTTCGATGGTGAAGTTTAACGAGAGAACAAGTCAAAGTGACACATGTCAGATCCTGAAGCTGACACATTACCTTTCTATTTTCATTCTCCAGAGATTTTCTTTTTTTTAAAGAAACTTCCTTTTTTTATATTTTATGAATTAAAAAATAAAAAAGAAAGGAGAAAAAAATCCAAACCTGTTGATGCCGTGGGCAGCCAGAACGGGGCACAGCCTGGCTTCTTATCAGTTAACTCCGTGTTTCAGTGTTCATGTGTTGGTTTCAATTCCAATTCTCAACCCAAATACACCAAACACTATAAAACTATCATCCCTCTCTCTTCCTCCGTCAAACCCATATCTAATATCTCGAATTTCATTTCTAATTTGGATAATTTTAACTTCAATCACCTTATCCACTTCCAAAAATGGAATCTTTTTCAACTTTGTATGAAGACTACTTCTCCAGCTCCGAGAGTAGTGATTGCCGGCGGTTCATATTTTCCGAGAAGGAGCTTATGTTAGCGGCGAGCAATCCGAAGAAGAGGGCCGGCAGGAAGAAGTTTAAGGAGACAAGGCACCCGGTTTACAGAGGGGTCAGGAGGAGGAACTCCGGCAAGTGGGTCTGTGAAGTGAGAGAGCCTAATAAGAAGTCAAGGATTTGGCTTGGCACTTTTCCCACGGCGGAGATGGCGGCTCGGGCTCACGACGTCGCTGCCATGAAGCTTCGAGGTCGTTCTGCTTGTCTCAATTTCGCCGATTCTGCGTGGCGGCTGCCGGAGCCGGCATCTGCTGACGCCAGGGATATTCAGAAGGCGGCGGCGGAGGCGGCGGAGGCATTCCGGCCGGCCGAATCAGATGGGTCTTCTGTTGATGACTCAAGGACCGAAAATATGATGACGGCGGAGACGACGCCAGAAAACGTGTTGTACGTGGATGATGATGCAATTTTTGGGCTGCCGGGATTGTTGGAGGACATGGCTGCAGGGATGATGTTGCCTCCACCTCAGCATTTTCGTGATGACATGGACTTTTATTCTGACGTGTCATTATGGAGCTACTAATATTCATAGTACTAAATTCTCTGTAGCTTTTAATGGAATTACATTCAATTTATGTACATAGAGACTAGAAAGAAAAAGAGTGTTTTTTTGGGATTGAAATAGTAAGAAGCACATAATGTGCGGTTGACTGTTGCCCCAAATAGCATTATTACATTCGATGAGTACTTTCCCCCACTTACTTTGGTTGCTACCTTCTTCTTTCTCTTTTTAGTATGCCTTCTATCCACAACTCTTTTCTCTATGAAAGCGAACTCTCTTCATCATTCGATGCAAATTTGAGTTCAAAAACGTCTCTTTCTTCCATTTTTAGCAGGTTCTTTGCTGCCAAGCCAATCCGTTTTTTATCGAGATCTTCATCAACTCCCAAAGTCCATACTAAAATGGCTACAATCTAGATCTAGAGTTCTTTGAAAACCTCTCCTTAGTAGACGTCTTTTAATACCGTAAGGCTCATGACAACATAACAGACTAAAGCGGACAATATCTGTTAGGGGTGAATTTTGTTGACAGATGTGGTTTCTATATCCTTTAGGAAACTGGGTTTTTGTTCTTATCAAACTTTGTAGGAAGGAAAATGAAGATTCATCTGAAGATCCCACATAGAAAATTGGGTTTCAAAATGATATTGTAAAGCAAAAAGGATATCCAGCTTAGTGTGTGAAACAAACATCAAGCAGCCACATGTGAACTGCAGAATAACATAAACCGCTGATATCAGCAAAATATTTGGATGTTTACAATGGGAATAACTGGCCTGGTGCTGTGGGGCTTTTATCTGATGACCAACAAATTTCTCAGGACCAAGAAGTAAAAAACAGGGCGAGAAGAAAAGAAAACTTATTGGTCCTGATATTCAAATACCCTTATACAAAGAACATTTCAGGGTAACATTGCGCTACTCACCAAGCAACACCAGAAAAAACAAGGGAACCTACCAGAGTGTCGATGAACTAACATTCAAATGAAATTGCTTAGAGAAATTCCTCCATCTGATTACTCCGCTTTCTTGAGAAGTGCAGCAGTTCTAAATTCAGCATCGTCCCTCACAAAACTCCACCAAATATATGAAAGAGGAATTGAAGTTGCATGCCAGAGTGCGTGAGCATCCACATATCCTGCATATGGAGGGAAATCGAAGGCCTCCAAGAGCATCGCAACCGCCCCACCAAAGACTAACATCCACAACTTGCATTGCGAGGGATGGCGCGAAAGAACAGCCCAAACTGCCCAAATGAGAAGTTGAGTAATGCTCATCACCAGGCAGACCTTAGTATTCAGACCTGAAAGGTAGTCAATTAACTCGAGTCAAATATCTGATACCAACAAAAATGTTATTCTTCCAATCCCAATGAGAGATGGAGTCGAGTAGTTCATTCATCTATTTGAACACAAGACCTGATCAATAGGCACCAGGAGTTCTGACCATTAACTTTTCTTTACAAAAGGCTTGAAAGGATATTGATTGTGCAAGTAAGAAAAACATGTAAAATAGGGAAATAGTGAACTTGATTGACAGATAAGAACCACCAAATCTCACCATCATATTCTCTTTGAGGATTGTTAAAGAGACTGGTGGTAAAAAAACACAACAGAACATTTGTTTTAAGCAGTCCATTTTTCCAACAACCCAACCCAGCCCACCGCAAGCAGATATTGTTCTCTTTAGTCTTACCCTTTCGGGTTTCCCCTCAAGGTTTTTAAAACGCATCTACTGGAGTAAGGTTTCCACACCCTTGTAAGAAATGCTTTGTTCTATTCTCCAACCAATGTGGGATCAAACCCTTATAAGAGTATAGAAGCCTCTCCCTGGTAAACGCATTTTAAAAACCTTGAGGGGAAGCCGGAAAAGAAAAGCTCAAAGAAGACAATATCTGCTAGCGGTGGACTTGAGATGTTACAAATGGTATCAAAGCCAAGCACTAGGTGGTGTGCCAGCGATGACACTGGCCCTCAGGAGGGGTGGATTGTGAGACCTCACATTGGTTGGAGAGGGAAACGAAACATTCCTTATAAGAATGTGAAAACTTCTTCCTAGTGGACAGGTTTTAAAACTTTGGGAAGAACCCTTCCAATTAAAACAGCTCAAGAATTGATGTATTACCATAATCAAGTTTGTAGAAGTTGAGATATAAGATGTGGGTTGTCACGAATGAGATAATTGGAGCAGAGACCATAACTCTAGCAGCCTCAACCCGCACATTAAGGGCTCGCAGTATTGCTACAATTAGGGAGAATCCAATAAATGCCGCAGCTGAAGAACAATCCAGCTTCTCAGTCAACTCCACATCTCTACAAGAAATTTAACTCAAAACATCATAGCAATGCAGATAGTCAGTTAGAAATGTATAGAAGTAGAGCATATGGTAGGGTAGATCATCCTGTCATTAGTAAAACCATGTTTAAGGGATATAAACTAAGCTTTATTTTATATATTCAGGGCCACCTTTTGAATTATGCTAAAGCAGCAATGTCATAAGAAATATGTAGCTTGTTAGGAGAAAAAAATACACAACCAAGGATTAAACTATATAATAGCTGACCTAGAGTGAAATGCAGCATTCCAGAAGCAAGAATTCATAGCTAAGATTCCATAGATATGCCATAACCCTGTATACTCATAGTAGGTCTTCTTATTAGGCTTCAATGGAAGCTTGTAATATATAAGAATGAAAAAAGATATCCAGCCATGAAATTGCACGGCAAGATTGAGGCTAGCAAGAGCAACTGCAACTGGCTCCTACCATATCAAATGCAAAGTTCAAGATAATAAGCAGAAGAACAGCACAATAGGGAATGGATTTGGCAGCATCATTTACATATGAGGCGAAGTCATTGGGCAAACCTGAATGCCATAGACTCGCCTAAATGGCCATTTTCCATGGTATTTGACAGGCTTATCACCAACATTACTTCTTTCTTCCTCCCTAGCAAGCATGCAGTGGTACCTACAATCGGTCTGGCAGTCCCACTGTTTCCAGCGTAAATACAAAGGTTCCTGCAGATACCATGGACCATCCACAGGCTTCCCATCCGACGAGAATTTGCAATGTTGAAAACATTTGTCACCAGCACACCCAGATTTCTCACACTGCACCACACAATCCCTGACAAATAATAGCGAAGCAGGTTTACTGAAGTGCAGCATTTTCTCTCCATACAGAGAATGAGAAATGAATCACTGTGTTCCCACTCTATCCAAAATCCAAATCCAAACCAATGTTTTAGGTCAAGATTCAATGACTTAATACCAACCCACTGAAGCTAATGCCTAAATAAGACTTCTAGTAATAAGATTCATCGATGCTCAAATGGTGAACTAAAACGATAAATTCTATAATTCATGAAAAAGAGAAGAAAATCTGAGGCAGTGGCGAAGAGCCCTCTTCGTACTTGGGAATCTCCCCCAACAAAGGAATAGTCTACAATAGAACGATTAAGACGTTAAAAGCTCTGGCGAATTCCTGACAGAATAGTAGAATGAACAGCTTAAAAATAAGAACCAAAGAATTACGAAACATTGCGACCGTTGATTTGCACACCAGCACAGTACAAACCCCACATATTAAAAAATAAATCAATAATCACAAGCAAACAATAAATTAAACACAGAGTGGGAAGAACAACGCATTAAATCAAATCCCCATTTACGAGACAAGCGTAGAAAAAGCAAAATATGGGAAAATCCAAATGAAGAAGCAGAGGGAAGAGGTATAAGGGTAGAGAGCAAAAAGGAAGAGGAAGTTACTTGTAAATGGGATCAGAATCGCCGGGGCTGGCGTAGACGGGATGGAAGAAAAAGAGGAAGAAGAAGAAGAAGAAGGAGTAAGCGAGGAGAAGAAGGCAATGAGGGAGGGGGGCCATGAGATACGGACGGAAAGTCAAAGGGAGGTGGAGAGGGAATTGAAGGGAATTAAGAGGAAAAGCTCCATGAATTGCTGTGAAACAGAAACAGAAACAGAAACAGAAACAGAAACAGAGTGAGAGGGGAAGCAGAGGATGAAGAACAGTAGAGAGAGAAAGAGAAAGGAGGATTTGGAATTAGTTTTTATGGGGAAAGCAAACGGGAAGAGGAGATCGGAATCCTGTTGAGGAGATGATCTTTGGACTTTGTACTCATTGACTTCTTGACACGTGGACGCATCGATGCTCTTCTCCTCTCTTTTACTCAATCATCATCCTTCTTTCCTTTATTATTATTGTTATTACTATTTCTTCCCCTTTAATTACTTATTCCTTATTAATTATTAATCTCAAATTTTACATCAAAATACCAATTTTTGCCTTCCTTTTTTCTTTTTTCCCTTTCATGTCTCCCCTTTTTAACGTTTTTTTTTAAAATAAAAATTAATATTTTTATAAACGGGTGTCCTAGCTGTCACAGATTTGATCATCATCTTCAAAACGATCACTTATTCATACTTAATTCTTTTAAAAAGACAACACTTGTTTGAAAAGGATAACCATTTTCAAATTGGAATATCGATCCATCAACGTTTTAAATGATATTTGATATCACGAGTGATCGCTATCTTAGTGTTAGGTGATTAATGAAAGGAAAGCACATCTTGTGAGGACAAATGCAATTGGTAAAATAAAATGTAGAATATCGAAACAGATTCTAAATCTTATTAAATAATGGATGAAAAAGCAAGCAGAGACAAAAGGGTTATAAAATAATGCAAATCATGGAAGACCAGAACCAACAACTACCTATGCATTAAACTAATTATTGTTTTCAAAATGTGTGTATCTGATTTTAAATTATAATCATATTTTTCTTTGTCTCTCTAACAGAGTGTGATGATATCATTGAGGTTTCCAATACTCTTCATTCATGTTGCCATAGGAGAATTCAGGGAGACTATCCATCTTCACAAACGGTGGCAATGGCAGACTCAGAAACTGAAACTTGGCTGCCATCAGTGACCCAGTTCCTGTTCTTCCTTGAATGGTATCTGGAGATGCTAAAGCTTACAGGCTGAAAGAGACCTTGAAACCAACAGTGGAAATATCAGATTTTGGATGTTTGTGGTGGTGAGAATGGTGGGCGTTTCTTGTTTTTGACTGTTGAGACAGGAAGTGGGACAAAAAATGATGCTTTTGCCTCCAAGTTTCCATCTTTTTGAGGGAAATTTGAAGAGAACTGGGGTATTGGGGGAGTCCCTGAATCAACGCATAATGTTTCTATGAGGCTGTCTTGAGTTCGTGTGTTTCTTCTAATGACTATCCTTTATACATCCTGTTGTTATCAGCTCTTCAGAGATTGAGCTTCCACACCCTATCTATTATTCTACTTCTTTTCAATCCCAACCAAACGTAAAAAGGGAGAGAATAAAAGGCTTTGTGGTTCATGCTTTCTAGGCCATCACTTTTTAATCATTGCTATCTATTAAAGCCTTTCCTTCGTCCTTTTTCTTCCTTTTCTTCTTTTTCCATTTCCACCCAGATAAGATTCCATGTCTCCATCTCTGCAGCATCCTATTATTTGGAAAATTCAAATTGAGAACGAGAACAAAGCATTTCTACTCTCCTTAACGGACGCGGTTTAAAATCTTGAGAGAGGAACAAGATGAGTTACCTACTGCTTCAACTGCTCCAAGGAATAAAGTAGAAATTACTATCCAGCAGGCAGTACTGTCATTAGTATTTGGATATCCTTCTCTAGGCAGAGGTTGAGTTTTGGGTCTCTTCATTTATACATCTTCTTGATTAGTTTCTTATTCTCATAACCATCTATAAAGTACTAATTAAAAGAAACTATTCCAGATAGAAAACATCGTCATAATATAAACTTACTTTTAAACATTCATAAGCCATAGATAAGGTACAAACAGAAAAGCTCAGTAACTTGAGACAGAACCATTACTAGGACATGAACAGATACCAAGAGAAGCCGAGTAACTTAGAATCTCAGTTCTAGATGAACTATAAGATTCACTTTATGCACAGTTTTTATTTCATTGTTACTATTATTATTGTTTTCTCTTGAGGGCAATTGATTTAAGACATGCACAGCACAGTACTTTCTATCCCTCTTTTAAACTCTAAGAATTCACAAGTTGAACATGACCTTAATAGCATTACCGCCACAAGCACTGGTTTCAAAGGCATCTTCCACCTCCTTCTGTGAGAAGCCAAATCTGTGAGTTATAAGCGGCTTCACATTGATCTTACCACTTCTGATAAACTCCAAGCACAGAGGCCATGTGTTCTTGTAGCGAAACACACCGATCACATCGACTTCCCTGCCATATAAAGCTTATACTCTGTAAAATGGTAAAGAAGAACTTGGAGATGTCGAAAAGCAGGTCTCGATTTTACCTTGCTGCAGCTGGAGTTAGTGGAACAGTCATCTCATTGTGACCCATTCCCACGAGACAAACTTTGCCACCAGCTCGGGTGGCACTTAAAGCTGTTGACATTGTCTTGTTAAAGCCAGCACAATCCAAGCTCACATCTACCTCAGCTTTCATGGCTTTTTGTATCTGAGCAACATCTTGATCTACATCCTGCAACATTAGATGCGTTGGTAATGTAGTAATCGACAGTAAAACTATGCATTTTGATAAGTCTGGAGCTTTCTACTAGTAAAAAACACACGTAGTGTATCGAGTATGAATTTCAGCTCGCCTCTATTTCCACTAAGCTCTCTAGATAAATCATAAAAATTGGACAGGTGAATGTAAATTACTAAAGGCGTTTGTGTTATGAAAGGATGGAGAGAGACAGAGAAACCTGAATGTCAATTGAAACTTTGATAACTTCGTCTGCTCCAAGGTCCTTTGCAACAGATAATCGAAAGTCATCGACATCAACAATGACAATCCGTGGTGCACCAAATGCCCGGGCAGCCATCATAGTGACAAGCCCAATTGGTCCAGCTCCCATGACCAAAACATTTGTTTCTGGACCAACGTTAGCACGTCGACAAGCATGAACACCTACACTTAAGGGCTCACACATGGCTCCTTCCTCTAAGCTGACATTTTCCGGCAGTTTAAAACACAGGTCTGCAGGATGAACCACCTGGTTGAAAGAAAAATAAGTGCTCGGCATCCAATCTTGGAGAACTCCATAAACTTGATATGCATCACACACGTCTTATCATTCAGATCTCCAGAAATAATATCATAAAATTCAATAAGAATGAAATGAATACACACATGCTTCCCACAACATAGATTATCCACAACATTAAGGGGTAAAATTTTCAAGTTCATTTCAAACTGCCTAAGCAAAAGAATTACTTCCCTTTTTTAACTTTTTCATTCTTAAATCACATGGAATCTCAAGAAGCACAGGGGTCGGTTACCTCATTTGCAAGAGAACCATGAACAGGGGGAGTGGCAAAGAACTTCATCTCTGGGCACAGATTGTAGCGGCCATCTTTGCAGAGATCACATCTCCAGCAACTAATTCCAGGCTCCAGCGCAACCCTATCCCCCAGCACCAAATGCTTAACTTCAGCTCCAACTTCTGCGATAATCCCAGCGCATTCATGCCCGATGACCATTGGCTCTCTGACGACAAAATGTGCACATCTCAATGTCTGAAAATATGCAGATAGAGTATAAGTCTAAAAAGAAAGATAACGTTGATAGGCCCTTACTACCATTAATTTCTCCTCTCAGACTCAGATAAATACAAACTAATGAGTTCTTAAACAGAGTATATGAACTTATCAGAATCAGCTTCTCATATTTTTCTCTCGTCATTTTCCAGTTCAGAATTAATGGAGAGGAAAAAAAAAGAGACATGCAATTAACATAGGAATGAACAAAACAGAAAACCCATGATTCCAAAATTAAGGCACCTTGAGGTAGTGAACATCACTGCCGCAGATACCAACAGCCTTCATCTTAACTCGAACATCATGGGGCCCTGAATTGGATATCAAGAAAGAGTTGACTTGATAATACTAAGATAGCAAAAAATGAAGAAGAGGAAGAAGATTCTGTAAGAGAAAGCGGGCGAATCATCATCAGGAACAGACATAGTGAGCAGGGATGGAGTGACAGAAGGAGAATAAAACATAAACAAGAATAGATGCATACCAAGAGGAGGAAGGTGAAAAGGCTGAATCTTCAGGGTATTGGCACCCAAAAGCCAAGCAGCCATATTCTCTTCAACACCATCTTCCCCACTGCCGCCCTGAGACATTCCTCCTTTTCCCATGATCTCTCTCTCTCTCTCTCTCTCTCTAGTCCCCGCTTGTACTGAAATCAGAAGCGGGTTCTTTCTGTGAGTTTCGATTTATCGGCTTGAAAATTTGAGGCGCCGTTGCATCCGTAGTGGTTGTGGATGAGATCCAAAGGCATTTGTTGCTATTAAAATTTAAAAATAAATAAATAAAACCCGACCATATCTCAATCAATTTAATTCTTCATTATCTGTAATTCTAATAATTACAAACTTGATTGTAATTTAACCCTTATTAATACTTTTAATCTATAAATAAATGAAGTTATTTTCATAATTATATAGAAAGAATAACATATTTATGGTGAATTTCGTGAGGGTCTGCATCTCTATCAGAAGTTTGGCTGATTTGAGAATTCTTAACCAAATCCGACACATCAAGGATTGTCATTAGCCAATATATTTTATAGTAATGAATATTCATGACCCACGACACAAAAAACAAAACAAATGGTTCAGGACGTCGTACTTCCAACACGCGGAGAGATGAAGGAAATATATACAATTTGGCTTGATGGGTCGGATTTTGCTCGACGTGTACAATTATGCTGTGTTACAGAGTAGCTCCTAAATCCAGGCCCATGAAATGCCTTGGGAAGCATGTGAGTGAGAGACGTGCGCCAGCCAACAGCAATGGCCCACAGAAAACAAATGATTGCACTAGGATTGAAAACAGTTTATCAGAGCCTACAGCGTGAAACCTTTTTCTGAATCAACTTTTGGTCTATCTCTGCTAGATCTTCTGATCTCATTCTTCTGTTTCAAACAGTTTATCAAAGCCGACAGGCTACCAATCCCTTGGAAGTATTTTTTAGCTAATAGAAATCCAGAAAGAATGTACTCTGACTCAACTCTGATAATATCAGTGTCCTCCATGAGTTGTTTATCAGTGGCACAAGATCAAGAATTCAAGAACAAGCTTTTTTCTTTTCTTTTTGGTGATTTTCACCGTTGGATGCAAAGCATGACTGAACAAAGGGGATGGAAGCATACATAGGCAAAAGTAGAACATATAAAACCTTCCACAGTTACCTTGAAGGATGCTTTCAAATGTTTTAGAGAAATCTATATAGGTTCGATCATCAAGAACAATCCATATAGCTTGGGAGAGTTCAGCCTTCGAGAAAATGAATGCGTATGGAGGGTATTTATACTGCACCAAGGTAATTGATCCAGTAAACCAGTGCATTGGAGAAGCATTCAAGTTGGTCAAGTTTTTGGCATCGAGTTAAATGAATGTTTATGCTTATGTTCTCTCTTCAATGGAACTATAAGCATATGGTTTCTGCACATTTGTCACTTCCATCAATTCTCTAATCTTCAAAACATCGTCCCACCTGTCTGAACCTGCATATGTGCTTGAACAGAGAACATAGTTCCCGCTATTACTAGGATCTAATTCAAGAAGCTTCTTTAAGACGATCTCAGCCAAGTTCACATTTCCATGAAGCTTGCAAGCACTTAATAATATTCTCCATATTACAACATCGGGAACCATCGGCATCTTCTTTAAGAAATCATAGGCCTTGTCCAGATGGCCAGAACGGCTCAAAAGATCCACAACACATCCATAGTGCTTCATTTCTGGTGCAAGTCCATATTTGTTTTCCATGCTCTCGAAGTGTTCCAGTCCCCTGTCTACCAATCCCACATGAGCACAAGCTAGTAAGACCCCAATAAAAGTCCCATGAGTTGGGCAAATGCCCTCTTTCAACATTTGATCAAAGACATTAAGAGCCGAATCGGCAAAACCATTCACAGCAAGACCTGAAATAATGGAAGTCCAGGACACTGAGTCCTTATTTTTCATCTCATTAAAAACCTGCAGTGCCTTCTCAACCACGCCGCACTTACAATACATATCAATCAAAGAGTTTCCTACAAAAACGTCTGATTTGATGCCATTCTTGCGTATGTATTCATGAACTGCCTCTCCCACATCGAGTGAGCCCAGATGGGCACAAGCAGAAAGCACAGTAGCAACAGTTATTTCATCTGGTTTAACCATAGACACCATCATTTCTTGAAAAAGCTTCACTGCCTCAGCATGTTGCTTAGCTTGAGAATAGCCTGTGATCATGGAGGTCCATGAGATCACATCCCTTGAAGGCATATCATTAAAAATCTTCCTTGCAGCAACTAAATTCCCTACTTTTGCATACCCCATTATCATGGCATTCCATGATACTATATTTTTGTCTTTCATCTGATAAAACACTCTGCCTGCCAAATCCGCCATACCACGGCGTCCATACATGTCGATCAAGGTGTTTCCTAAGTAGACATCAACCACAACCCCATGTTCATCAATGTATTTCACCAAATAGTCTGCTATTTCCCATTCACTCAAAAAGCTGCATGCTAAAATAACTTTCATCATTGTCAGAGAATCAGCACTCACTTTTAAAGCCTGCATTTCCCTAAAAAGATCAAGGACTTCCTTATATCTATTAGATTGACAATATCCACAAATTAAAGAATTCCAAGAAACTATATCTCTTTCCGGCATTCCATCGAACACCTTTCGTGCAATAGCTAACTCCCCAAAGCACCCATACATGTGAATCAAAGCATTGGAAACAAAAAGATAGGATTCGAACCCAAGTTTCATAGCATGAACATGAACCTTCTGGCCTTGCCCAACATCAGAAACTCTTGCACAAGCCTTGAACACAAATATGAAAGTCAAATTACTCCCCTTTATTCCTTGGCAATACATGCTATTATAGAAATGAATTGCATCACTGGGTCGATGGCTCTTTGATAGACCGTGGATCATGTGGTTCCATACTAGCAATGTGGGTCCCTGAATTTGGTTGAAAACGAAATGGGCTTTGTGCAAATACGGTGGAGAAAGAGCATAATGCTTGATAACTTGAGAGATAGAAGATGGGTCCATGTGCATTTGGGTCCTTATAAGCTGGGCGTGAAGCTCCTTAATCGAGCTGAGGGAGCCCGAATAACTCGTAGCTCTTTGTGATTTGGAGGTCTCAGTAAAGGTGCTGAACAGGCGACAAACTGATCTGGGGATTTTCATAGCAGATCGTTGGGGCGGCCGAAAAAGAACACACTCGACTATTTTTTTGATGATATAAGAAAATTCATTAAAATTGGTTTTAAATTTGGTTGGTAATTGGTAGGAACCCTTCAACCGTGTGGAAAAGTTCATCCAAAGTTTGAAAACGATGCTTCCATTGACTCTTCATAAATACGCATAAACAAGGTAAACCACACTCGACTTTGGACCATTTAAACCACGCCAAACACAACCATACTTTGAAAAAAAACATACTCCCACACAATTATAAAAGCTTTTGGCATTTGGTGCTTTTTGCCCGAACGCTCTCACAATGGCTAGAGGGGGGATTTTAGGGTTAGGGATTGATAGCTATCCTTTCATTTGGTTAAATTGTACAGTCTGACCCAAAATAAATTTAATTATAATTACAAATAAATAAATAATGAAAAAATCATTTTCAAAAGGGTTGTTATCCCAACTACTCATCAAATTTGACTTTTTTATTTTTTATTTTATTTTTGTACACAATTTGGTTTATGACGATATTTAAACTATATAATAAAAAAAATATTTAAATAAAAGTTAGTTACATAATTTAATTTATTTAGTTTTAACTATCCTTTGAAATAACTTAATTAATTAAAATTATAAGTAAAGCTTAATTTATAATTCCATCGTTAGTGCATTAATCTTAGGTTCCTAAGCAATGAAATTCATATTAAATATTTAATTATCAACCGAAAGGGATTTCAAGATATTGATGAGAATAATTTTTAATTGCTTAAGGCAATCGTGTGAGCCGCCCAATATTAAAATATCAAAATGGAATTTTTGCAATCATTTTTTATTATTATATGATTAGTATGCATGCGTCTTAGTAAATTAACATTGCAATTTTTTTAAATTATATTTATATACTTCCACGTTGTTTTTCATATTATGTATTAATAAAATTAAATTAATCATTAATACTATTGTGGCTAATTATTTGGAGCTAATCATGTCAAATTATTTAAAAAATTAAAGATAGTTTTTTTTTAAAATATATATATTTTAGTTCATAATTTTTTTTTTTACTTATTTTATTTTTATCCCAAACTTTCAAAACGTAACAAATAATAATCACCATAAATTATTAATTTAAATTTAATTTAAAAAATAAAAAGGATTTTGTTTCTAGAAATTGAAGTCAAATACTCATCATAAATTATTTTTTATTTTTAAAAAATTAAAATCATTAAATTCCCATTAAAATTATGCTAAAGGAGTTTGCTTAAGTCGTTGACCAAACACAAATTATAATGAGATGGCACAACTTGGCATATTGCGATTCTATCCATTTGCCAAACACTCCCCCCCCTTGAGACTTGAACCACCAAAATCAAAACCATTCGGGATTTTGTTCAATCCACGTGTCGAGAATCTAGTGGAGTTACGTGTTTATTCGTTAGAGTTTTGCCCTTACGTCCACGGCTTATATTATTAATGTAAATTATTTTACACCTAATCCCTTATAATTCCTTTTTATTTTAATACCAAATTACCCTCCATTTTAAATCATTTTCGCCCCTGAAGTTTGTTAAATTAACGCCGTGTTCGACAATTTTATTATTTATTTCTTTAAAAATACGACTTCTTTTAATAAATTTTTGTTTTTAAAGAAAACTAATTCCTCAATCATTTTGCTTTTGCAACAATTTTTGCAATATTTTTTTTTCTACTATTAATATTTAAAAAGTTAATTTTAAATATTTATGCATCAACAATAATATAATATTTTAAAAAGTTAATTTTAAAACTTTTTTCTAGTAGACATATTTTAAAATTTTGAGGGAAATTTCAGAAAAAAAAGTTTAAAGAAAACAATATGGACTAATAGATAGTGGGGTAAATTGTTAGAACGTTAGTTGAATACGATCCTCCACAATAATATAATATTGTTCATTTTGAGCATAAATTTCTAGTGGGTTTGCTTTAAACTTTCTCAAAAGTTCTCACGTTCCTTGATTATAAATTCATGATCTTTCCATCCCTAAATTAGCACACAAGAGATTAAAGAAACAAACCAGCAAAAAAAAAAATAATAATAATAATAATATAAATGAAAGGGTAAAAGAAATAGCGAGGTTCATTTTAGTAATTAGAAGGAGTTGGAAGGGTGATTTATGGTTTATTGTTTTGCAGTTAAGAGACGTTGAGACGACTTCAAACAAATCCAAACAGCCGTGTCGTAAGCTCATCGTCCAAGCCCCAAAAACTTCCAACGCCAACTCAAAAAAATCCTGTTTTTAAGTTTTCTCTCTCTTCCCCATCTCAAATAAAACAAAACCACTTTAATAAATACCTATTTATTTCTACTCCATTTCATTTTACAATCCTAAAATTCCCTTCCACCATGCCCCTGCTCTATACTTCCAGAACTGAGCCGCCATCTTCGCGACTCCTAATCGACGTCGTTTCCTGGTACTGCGCCGTCGCCATCTTGGGCCTGATTCTGATCGGCTCTATCAGAGAAACCTCCTCCTCCGCCTCCGCTGATGACGGTAGCCAGATGCTCAGAGGAAACTTGCTGACGGGGCGGGCGTGCGATGAGATTTACGTTGTCGGAGAAGGAGAAACGCTGCACACGATTAGCGACAAGTGCGGTGACCCGTATATCGTGGAGCGGAACCCGCATATCCATGACCCGGATGACGTCTTCCCTGGTTTGGTAATCAAAATCATCTCCTCCCACAACCCTCCCAAGCTGGGATTCCAAACTGGTTAAACAAAAAAAAAAAAAAAAAAAACCTTTTCTTTTCTTTTTAAATAATTTCGGAGACAGCCATAGAATTATGATATTATGATATGGACGTTTGTGTATTTATCTTACGGATATAGAGGGAAAATTATAGCTCATCTTCTCTTCTATTAGATATATATCATACTTAATATAAATATTTCACACAAACCATATCATTTTTTCCGAAGATCCAGTTTCATAATTTTTAAATACATCTAATGGTGATGTTTTCTATACATTTATAAGGAATGATTTGTTTCCTTTTCAACCAATAGGATGCCACCATAATTTTTTGTAATTGATTTTTGTGTTTGAAAATTAATGACTTGGCATGGGTAGGTAACGGGCTATAACTAAATAAGGTTTTTTTTTTTTAATAAAAATTATTAAAAAAAATTATAATTGTAATTTATAAATAGAAAAGTTAACGTCGAGTCACATCCAACTCCATACGCATTCTAATTTTGATTTACACTCGTAAAGTGTTAATAAATGGGAATTGGGATTTTAATGGGTTTTTAATTATTTCAACCATTTTGTGGAGCAATTAATTAAAACACAATAGCGATGAGTCATTGGCTGTGATTGGGTGATGAGAGATCCAAGTTGGCACAAAGAAGGGATGTGATTGGATTGGACCCCCTTATGTGTCATTCACACGTGTGTTTATGTGTGTATGTGTGTATGTGCGTGTGGTATACCTATCAAGAATGGGCGTAACTAGTGTCTCGTGTGTACTCTATCAACCAGTATCAAACATATTAAAAGGGAAAATGAAATAGAACTTTGTATGCAGATTTACATTAGTGTAATTTATAGTTGAAAGGAATTAGAAATTTGGGTGAATATGTGTGTTGCTTAATGCATGTGGGTAGCAGTTGTAAGCTGAAACAATTAATAAGGATACCAAAAGTAACAAGACAACCCTATGTCATACCTTTGCAAGGAATCACAGTAGGAATGGCCTCTTTTTGAATACTTCCATGACTCTGTATCCAGAAAGAGATCAAGAGAATTAGATGGCTTTGCTCATAGTTTGCCTCACAGACTCTCACAACCTTTGAATTACTCTTCAATCAGATTCTTGATTTCTATCATTGCAGCTTGTTTTCATTTCGAGCCTATAATTTGGAAAGGATGAATTAAGGAGTTGTCTAAGAAATGCCCATGCATAAACTAGAAGCTTTACTTACCTAAATATGAAGGGATTTTGATGAAATATGTGAGATCCCATGTCAGTGGGAGAGTTCAAAACATTCTTTATAATAAGAGCGAAGAAACCTCTCCTTAATAGACACATTTTAAAGTTGTGGGACTGACGACAATATGTCAAGGCAGACAATATCCGCTAGCAGTAGACTTGGATGGTTACAAATGGTATTAGAGCCAGACATCGGGTGGTGTGCCAACGAGGTCACTGGGCTCCCAAGGGGGTAGATTGTGAGATCCAAACATTCCTTATAAGGGTGTGAAAATCTCTCTCTAATAGACTGTGTTTTAAAGACGACGATACGTAACGGAGCCAAAACGGACAATATTTGCTAACCGTGGATTACAAAAGTATTGGGGAGAGCAACTCCATTAATCACTTACCTTGCTGCAAGACCTCACTTCATCTACTGAACTACTGGTTGCTTTCTGATATGTCATTGAAAGTCGCCTGATTAATTTGGTATTTTGTTCGATCATGGTAGACAGAGTTGATGAGGTTTAACAGTTTGGAGGTGGCTAATATCCCCACCATTAACTCGTGAGCCTTACCATCCACCTCAATGACACTTGATCCAGCTGCTTTTTTCACACCTCTACGCTTCACTAGTCTCCTTAATCGATTCACATTGGACCATCTTCCATTACTAGCAGATATATTGGACAGCAGAACCAACACACCAGTATCCTCTGGATCAAGTTCCAAGATGTAATCTTGTATGTTATGAGAGAGCTCAACATTTCCAACACTTAATACTTAAGCCCTTCATCCACCAGACCAGAATGGTAGCAAGCAGTCATAATCGCTAGAAATGTTACCTCCTTAGGTTTGACATCAGATATTATCATTACGTCAAAAAACTTCAATGCTTCCTGCACAATTCCATGCAATGCCAGACCGCATAGCAGGGCATTCCAAGTGAAGGTATTTCTTTGAGGCATATTGTTAAAGATTTGCAGTGCCATTTCGATGCACCCACATTTGGCATACATGTCAACAATAGCAGTTCCAATATGGATATCCCATTTGATTCCTCTTTGATCTATGTACTCATGGACCCGTGTGCCGAAGCCAAGAGTTCCTAGGCTGGCACAAGCAGAGAGAACAGTAGTTACAATAATTCCATCAGGGCTAATACCCAAGGTTAGTATCTTGGAAAACAGTTCCAAGGACTCTTTTGGATGGTTACTCTGCCCCAATCCAGCGATCATGATAGTCCAGGACACAACATCTCGAACAAACATTTCATCAAACACCCTACCTGCACTAGAAAAATCCCCACAAGCTCCATAGCAACGAATCCGCGAGTTTTGCACATAATGATCACCTAGCCCCAAATTAATCACCCCTCCATGAATCTGCCTGCCTTCTCTGCTCCCTGAAAAGTTAAGAGCACGACTGGAAAAGTAAACATATCAGCTACAAACCCATCTTTTGGTCTATCATATAACGCAATTGTTAAAAGACTAAGATTGAATGCTAGGAGCTCTATTAATATTAATATTAATGTATATTATTTATATGCTTAATTGATTATAAAATTTTACTATTTTCGAGATTTATGAAATTTCAAGTTAGTTGGATTTCAATTAATTTTTTAATTATCTATTTTCAAATATTTCATCTTAATTCAAGATATTTCTACAGAGAGAGAAAAAAAAAAAAAAAAACAAAAA